ATTTGTATAATATATATGGGGTGAGAGAGAACCAGCTGGCCCAAAATCATCCCAGGAGCTTCCATGGCCAAGGAGAGACTTGAACCTGGATCTCCTCATTCCTAGTCCAGCAGCTTCACCATTGGATCACCCTGGCTCTTGGGCTGAGTGGGGAGGGCTGGCCCAAAAGTCCCCCAGGAAGCTTCCACGGCTGAGCGGGGACTTGAACCTGGGTTTCCCCACTCCTAGCCCAGCACCTTCCCCACTGCCCCCCATTGGCTCTTGGTCTAGCAACTCCTCTGGGGTATTTTTATTTCCAAGGAAGCTTCTGTGCCTCCACTAGTCACATTGTGGCAAAATTCTCACACAAGTGAGCATCCTAGGAATATCCTGAGCAGTAAACCAGGGCTTTGTGACTGGCTAAGCCCACCACTGAAGATATTTTGTGGTGCCAAAATTCCTGTTTGCTTATTGACCTGGACCAATTGTCTGATCCGGTCCTAAAAGGAGCAAGCAGCAGAATTGGAAAGGAAACACAGCAAAGCATTTCAGGAACCTGCCAGCACCATCGAAGGAAAGAAAAGGAGTCATTGTCCTGAGAGAAGGTGGCAGTGGGTGGTTTTCAGTGGAAAAGTTTTAATATGCCCATGATCCATATGCCCATGATCCAAAGAATTCAAGGTTGTGGTGCAATATTTAAGGATTTTCAAGTTATAGCTTGGAACATCAAAGGACGGTGCTGCATTTCTCAAGTATTGGTTCCTACAAAAATGGGGATTTCCACTGTAGCATGGGAATCAAGAAACACCCTTCTGCATTGCAAAAATCAGATTATAAATGTGAACCTGTAGGAGCGGTTCTCCTTGATGGAGAAGGGAAATGCCCTAGGTCCCATGTTCCATAGAACTGGTAGGAGCATCGAGCTGCCAGATGCCAGAGAACTCCCAGTTCATGGCATCTGGCAGCTCGTGAACTTTGACTGATTGCGTTATGCTCACTTTGCTGACTGCCGGGCACACTTACTTTCCCAAATGGAGGTGCAAGCTGAGTCTGTTGCTTGCAACTTTCTTTCCCACAAGGCATCTTTTGAAAACCAGGTCCTTTCAGGCACATGGTTCACTTTAGCGCTGTGGTTTTGTAGAAATTGCTCTGGATATTTGAGACTGGATTGTTAGGCTAAGATTACTTGAGGTTACTGTTCCCCACTCTGTTTGTGCAAAGTGGGCGAAGTCAGTTTTAGCCCACTTGCCAGGTAATTTATGGCAACCAGTGGCTTAATAATCCAGAGTTAATGGCACTTTGATCAAGGGTGATGATAACACAAGGAGGAGAAATATCGCTTTATCCCCACTCTCCATTTATCTTCATTTTAGTGATGGCACAATACATAAAAGGGCTGTGTGAATGGTTTCGAAAGGATCCTGTTCCTGAGATTGTTCAGTTGTGGTTATATTTTGTTTTTTCTACATTCAGATTCCCAGCAGGGGGTCAAGACCATGTCATCGTTGTGTTTACCCTGCGATGTCAGTTGCTTAGAGATGGTTGTGGGCGATGCAAATGGAAGTTTGGGGTGAGAAGTAGCACAGTTTTCCCCCCAGTACAGATTGTAAACTGCTTTCTAATGGAAGTTGGACCTGGGAAGTGGGTTCTAGGGGAAATTAATTTTATTTTATCTTCCACCATAGCCAGGCTAGCTAAAAATTCCCACCATGTTTATTTTCTTCAAAGGCCTTTTGGAGTATCCTCTTGAGCCAGTTGTGTCTGATTCTTGAATCTGCAGGTTAAGAAGGTGAAGGCTCCTTTGAGTGAAGCCTGGCCCTTGCTAACCACATAAAATAAAAAGGTTTATTTGCAGCAGTACACAGCTGATTTGCCATTTCCTTTTCCCAGGATTTGTCTTGACTTGGAAGCCCAAAATTGCCTGGAGGTATCTGGGAAGATCCATCCAGCTAGGTGGCAGCCCTCAGCTGACCTTGGAAAGCTAAGCGAGGTTAGACCTGGTTATTCCCTGGCTGGGTCACCACCTGGAATTCCAGGTTATAGGCTAGACCCACAGTTCCCAAATGGTGAGTCATGGTGACCCAGCAAACTCAGAGGGGCGCCATAGGATATTTTACTATTTAATAAATGGAACTGTTAGTGAGGTCACTGTGGCATTTTGGGGCATCACAGCTCACTGTTTGGGAACTCCTGGGGAACTGAGAAAGTTTGGGGACCTCTGGGCCAGAGTGAGAAATCAGAACAACCATCTAAGAAGCAATGACATAATGTTTTCATAATGTTGCCAGGATGGCTCAGAGGATATGTTCCTGTAGTCAACAGCAGTCAAGTCTGACTTGAAGGAAACATTACATTCAGTGTGAATTGAATGAGTTGGTATGGTTGTTCCCCACATTTTTGTCACTTTTGTCACATTAGACATCACAATTGGTTAGTGGCCTTTGGAGAGACTTCGGTGTGTCTTCTGAAAGCTTACTTGCTTTTCTAGTTTGCTGCAGGGCTTCACGCTTTCTTGCCAAAGGAGATCAGATTGTGGGAGGTATGACCATCCTCCCATCCTCCCTCTTTCTATTATTCTAGAAGTCTTTCTCCTGGTTAGCTGTCATAGTGCACACGCTGCTTCTTTTCTTTTTAAAGCAATGTCTGGCTGTTTCTGTTCCTGATTCCTCTGTTTACCCTGGCTCTCCTGTTCCCAGGATCCTCTTGTCAGTCCTTTGTGGGCTCATCTTGGATTCATCTCGCCAATGTTCCTATCCCTTTGGCTAGACTCTGCCACCCACTCTGCTCATGGAAAGAGACCCAAGCCTGTGGAGATCCAGGTCCTCTGTGGCTCTGAAAGGTTTGGGGAATGGAATGAATCTCCTCTTCTGCACAGTAGAGGAGCAATAGCCAGGGCTTAAAGTTGTCCACACAGTTTGGGTCTCCTCTTCCTGTGAATTTATCCCACGTCCCTTTCAGAGGAGGAATTCTGGTTTGCTACTCATGTGCTGACCGGAAAGCAAGAGGGGATGGGCTTTCACACAGAAACATCTGGAGAGGTTTTCCTTGGCACCCAGATCGGTGCACCTGGACATCTCAAGCCTTTTGTTTTCTAGCATGTGGTGTGTCTTCCTTGCTGGACTCAAAATCTTCAATTACTGGATGGGCAGTATGAAGTTAGTAATGGGAAGCCAGTTCAAAGGTAGATAAATGGAGTTTCCCCCTTTCATTTCTGCCAGCAAGGAGCAATTTATTCTTTTTAAGTCCCTTATTTTAATTTTTAAACCATCTATCTGTTTGTTTTGGGGTAGGAGATTTCAGACGCCAAACACTGTTGACTTCACTGCAGTTCTTTTCCACTTTCCTCCAACTGGCTAGAGGATGTTGGAGGAACTGTCCTGGTTTTTATTTTTTAATCTTTTCTAGTCCAAAGGAAGACACTTTTGGGATGGTTGCATTCATTTCCTTTAAGCTCCATCCCTTACAGTAGAGCTTGCAACTGTTTACATTTCTTTGTATTTCTTTCTACTTCGTCTTGCCTATATATGAAAATTCCCCAGTGCCTTTCCTGCATTGACCCCGAGAAGGCAAACGCTCAAGATGTGCAAAGGGCTTCAGATTTCCCAGAAACTGCCTTCCCCAGAGTTACGTCATTTGTCCATCTTGTAGCCCTGTGGATCCCCAGGTGCTCTGCCTGTAGCCTCAGAGTCCATCCACCACAACTGCCTGGTATTACGCAAACCACACATTTTTGTCAGTGAGCACAAGGACTCAAGCTGCTTCCTTGAGCAAAGAGACTTAGTGCGTGAAAGGAGTCAGACTGCCATGAATACGTCTCAGAGGACACGTTTAGGGAGAAAGGAATTTGTTTTAAAACAATGGGAATGGAAAAGAGGGTGTGATGAGGTTTAGCATTACAGAAGTCAACTGGCAGAAGCACAGTGTAAAATTTATTATCTGGTTTCCCAAGGATATGAGTTGGACATGCGCCAATGATTAATTTCTAACTACACTAACATAGCTTGAAAAATCGTGATGAAGCAAAATGGGGTGGTATGAATTCCTCTACTTATTCTACGCTGGTCCTGCATCGCTGAGAGAATTATGATTTTCTGCTGGTCGGTCTATATTATCTGATATGGGCTTATCTGTTATAGGGTAATAATGAATACAGGCAGTCCTCTTTTAGCAACTGCCTTGTTTAGCCACTGTTTGCAGTTACAACAGTGATGAAAAAGTGACCAATCCTCATATTTACAACCTTTGCAAGTCTGTAAAGCAAAGGAAAGCTGAAGCAAGATCATAAGCCCAGTTGTGGTTTCATTTAG